GGTGTATGATGAGTGGTGTATGATGAGTGGTGGTTTGATGAGTGGTGTATGATGAGTGGTGGTTTGATGAGTGGTGTATGATGAGTGGTGTATGATGAGTGGTGTATGATGAGTGGTGGTTGAACAGCTGTTGAATGTCCGTAACACGGAAGTTTTGCACACTAAACTTCCTTTGACAATTGTTACATTGACAGATGAATGAGAACACATATCATATGTATATATGCATTTACCTATTTATTTGCGCAAATATTGTTGGAAGCAAATGTACGGCGGAAACCAAGGAGCTTGCTAAAAGTGGAGCCTGTTTAACAATGGAATATCCGGTTACAAATGAGAGAGGGATAGAAGATAGAATACTGTTTATGCCTGATCGCAGTAATGGAGATAAAAAAAGATTTTTGTGGCAAGAGAAGGCATCTGGACCCAACTTGCAGAGTCCCAAACCCAGCCTTCCAGAGTTCTACGCTTGACCGGCTTGCAACATTCCCTAAATTGGAACGAGTTGCAGACTTCTGTTTGAGAGCTTGGAACAACAGAGAGCTTTATGCTTCCAGAATCCAAGTCTTCCTCCTATTGTTGAACAATTTGTAGCCAAGCACCAGCACAACCATCACCGCCACCATCACCTCCTCCTTAGTCGAGGCTTTGTCTTACTTTGAGGCGTTTCGATCCTTATCCAATTCCTGATCCAAATTCACCAACTCATACGCTGCCCCTCAATGTTTCGACTGGGACATGCCTTTGAATCAAGTTGACCCATACAACGCTTTGTATGCTGTGCGATCGACTGGTGGGCAGGGCTTCTGGATGATTCTGTGCCGCTGGGTTGCGCGATAGCTCGTGCATGGGGAGCTCAAAAGGGCACCGGCTTGAAATCTGCGAACGTTGCAGCGGACGCTCGGAAAGCCTCTTCTTCATACAATGATGAACACATTGGGCAGCGCCACCACTCTGGCTGCTTCGTCGCAGTTGTTCATATCTTCATACCCATATGACTCATGTATGATGTTTTGTTTCACCCACAGCGCGTTGCTGGCTATCAGGTACAATGGACTCGAAGAGCGCGTGGTGCAGCCGTTCAGATGACAAAAGACCTTGGTACCAGATGGACCTTGGAGAAGTCAAAGATGTTGCTGGCGTCATTTTGGCAGCTCGTGAAGCACCCAGAAGTCCCAGAAGCTGGCTTAGTAACTTAGTATACACGATACAGCTGGTCTGGACTTCAACACTGAGGTGCAGACAACCCTCAGTGGGTGACAAGGCGTGCAGACCGCTGCGCGCGTACACTGATTTTACTTTCTTGCTTTGCATAGCTTTGCTACATTTTCGCATGTGGCTTTGAAGTGGCAAGGTCTGTGAACGAATCACATACAGCGACTCTGCTTTTCATGGCAATGTATCAGGTTCAAAATCTCGACTGCTGCTTCTGAGGCTCGATATCCAGACAGCAGAAGAGAGGAAGAGAGAGAGAGAGAGGAGAAGAGAAGAGAAGAGAAGCGAAGCGAAGAGAAGAGAATGTCAAACAACAGTCTCAACACTATTTATGAGATAGCTGACACCAACAGGGCCCTTGAGCTCAAGTCTTAACAGTACAAAGAGGCGCGTGTACAACACTTAGCGAAACATCCAGGGGAGCTCCAACAAACAACAGGCAGAGCCTTGATCCCAGAACACTCGGGGAGCTAGCAGCATCAGCAATAACAGGACCAGAGCTGGAACAAGACACCACAGCCTTAGCAACAGCACACCGGTTCAAACTCAGACTAGCAACATTCGATGGCAACTACTCAACATTAGAGGAGTGGAAATTAAATCAACATTCACAGCGTAGATGGGTCTGATGGACGCCATCTACCCACAACTCCTGGACACATCGGAAGCAGCAACAACACGACTCACTGACACAGAGCTCACGGCAACAGCAGCAACACAACAGGAAGGCGAAGGATGGCAACAGCTAGCAAAGAACTTGAAGCACATACTCATAAGCACGGAGCAGCAGAGTATGCAGACAACACCAACCATGACACTATGAGATGGGGCTGGAGGTCTGTCAGCGGCTCCCGATACCGCTGGGAACACGCAGCAATGGCGACGGCAAAACTTCTCAGGCCGAACAGCAACAACAACAACAACAACAACGACCAACTTCTTCTTCTCACGCGCCCAGAGGGGGTAGCGCAGCCGGTCATCAGTGCGGTTGACTGACGGACTCCTCTAGGGAGTGCTTTTGAAGGCAGACTCTTCATGCCTTTTGTGAGTGGTTTAAGAATGGTGCCAGGTGGCATCCAGGAGGGAGTGGTTCAAGGCCAAAGGCCAGTCAGGCAAGTGTTGCCTAGCCACTTCAACTTACTCAGACATTGATTGAAATCAATCAGGGAAATGAATTTACAAAATCTCATGATCAAAAATCGCTCAAAATTCAGCATAGCTGAGAGCATGCATGACAGGGATCATGCGAGGCAACCTAAGTATGGAAGCTAAGGTGTAAGCTACCTCATCCCTCAGTCATCAGCAGGCGCTGCATCAGCACCGGAGAGCCGCTGCAGCACACAGGTCTCAGGCGGCAGCAAGGCTTCATTGATCCGCTCCAGGAGCAAGGTCAGGCGCTGCGCATCATCTGAGGCAGCAGCATCATCAATTTGTGACCAAGCGGCTGAGGTGTCCGTAGCCGTGTCCTGCTCCTCCTCAGGGAATTCCTGAGAAGTGCCAAGTTGCGCAGTGGGCTGATCTCCTGAAGAGAACCTGAATGGTCCAGGTACCAGGCCAAGGCGCTCATTCAGCGTAGGAAATGATGTATCCAAGGCACAATCATTGGGACACAACCAAACCAGAACTAAGCGCTGCTTGGCCCAAGTGGGAAGGACCTGATGGACCTTAGCCGGCTTTTCATCATCCATCTCATACCAGGAGTCCGGATTGCAGGCCTTCAGGAAGGTCACAAAATGTCCTGAGGAGTGGCTACCAAGGTGCACAACTCCTGAGACAGGTCGGTGAGGAATCCACGTGATTTCTGCTGTTCGATCGTCCTCAAAGAAGGGCAAATTCACCTCATGCTCGAGCTCCAGCACATTGTTGTGGCCTAGGAATTTCGTGAGCATAACGAGGCGATCAATGTACACACACTTCAATGGTCCAGCAGTGAGGAAACCTGACCTCATAGATTCGGCATATACCCAAGGCTGAAGGAGTTGCTGCAATGAGGGGGCAGGAACATCAAGTTCATACAAACTGTCCAATGGAAACTGCCAAGTTCCAGCCTCAGGTCGCTCAACTTTTGTGCCTGCAACAAAACGGCGTTCCCATGTCATCGAGATGGCCTCCGTCTCAAGCCACACAATGAGCTCAGATACGAACTCTCCCACATCCCTTGGAATACATGTCCTCTGGACATGCTGAAAAAGATCCATGAAGGCTTCCACTACTTTGAGCCCCGGTGTAGAGTGAAGCGCGTGAAGAAAAGCACGAACCGGCCTCAACTGTACACCAAACTCTGACAAGGAGAATGTCTGACGGCACAGGATGGCCCACAAGGTGCAGAGCAGCCCCGCATTTGCCCAGCACCAGCAGCTGTCGTTGTGCAGCTTAGCCCCCAAAATTGCACCTCGAAGAAGGTCACCTAGTGACGGCGGTTGCCGGGCTTGCGAGGATATGCAATCTCCTGAAGTTCCTGGGCTGCCCGAGATCGTTGCTGGGAGTGTGCTCTCAAGCGACCTGCAATGAGCATCCAAATTGCCGAGCCAAGGAGGTGTTTCATTTCGCACATGAGGGCATCGTTCCTCATCGAGAGCTGAATTTTCCATGGCGTCACCCCCGTGGTTTGCCCCTGACTTCGAAGGGCAAAGAAGCGGATCAAATTGCTCGGTTCTTGAAGAGCTGAGTGCAGTCGTTGAAGGCGTTGCTCCATGTCCTGGATGGACATTCCCTGCACCTGGGATGGCAGAAGACATTTCTGCTGATGATTCCACTGCAAGTAGGGCACCGTGTTGTCCTCCAAGATGACCTTGGTCTGTATGCTCTGCCAAAGTCCTCGTCCGAGAGCTTCGTACAGAAGCCCTTGAAGCGTCTCATCAGTTCCTCCAGCAGGGTCTGCATCAAGACCACCCGGAGAGGAGACGTGACATTGGATTGCTCCCTCCAGTCCTGAGCTGTCTGGATCAGCAGAGGTGACATTCCCTGCGGACCTTGAGTGAGGAACAGGATGAACTGATCCTGGCATGCTAGGGAGTTCAGGGCATCCTCGTGACGAAGGGTCACAATGGCTAGCATCCGGCATAGTTGAGAGACCTGTGTGGTCTGGCTGGAGTCTTCGTGACCTGCTGTCGTCATGGAGGGCCTGGTAGTCTTCCGGCTTTGATGTTCCACTTTCAGCTTCTTGGCCACTGACTGGTGTCGAGCCGGTGTCGGTGCGTCGGCGAGCATACCTAAGAATGTCTCCTGCAGCTGAGTCAGCTTGTCCTCTTCGTGTACCTCCACTTTTTGATCGGCCATGGCTCACAAAGTCAGGTCGAGTGAGCAAGTGAAGGAAGGTCAGGTTCTGAAGCACCACACATTTGTGTTTGAGTGCACACCATGCTGACTGATCCACCAGGTTGTAGGTGGCGTGATCAACTCCACAGGCCTTGCATGGAAGAGGTGCGCTATGAGCCAGGAAGTGCATAGCCAGACCATGTAGCAAGGCTTGACTCTGTTGACTTTCAACTGCATGGTGCTGTTCCACGTGCTGCATGAGGTCTGTGGGACTCGAGCAACTTCGATTGCACAAGGAGCAATGATGTCTGAGCGCGTCACACGAGGCCCTCTTGTCCAGCAGGAAGGCTGGATGATGGTCAGGTAGATGGCGAAGCAGTTGAGGCGCCTGTGCATGCAGTCTGGGATTGATTTGTGCTGCACGTGTGATAGCATCCTCTTCAATCTTCCATGGTAGGTAAAAATACCAGTGGTTGGGATTGATATAGGCTTCAATCATTGCAATCTGACGCCAAGCAATGCACCTGTGAGCTCTGGGCTGTGAAGGTCGTCGAGGGTTGCACACACAATCCGGCTGCTGCTCCTCCAACAGGAGGACATAGGCATCAGCTGATCGGTAAAAAGGACCATGCTGAGTCTGAAGGCGCCGTGTCAAATCGGCCACTCTGCTGAGGCCTGTTCCACACATGCTGCGTGAGAGCGTGAACCGAAGACGTTCCTCTGGATGTTGTGGATTCTAAAGCATCTCAACAGCCCGTCCTGCACGAATAGTTGCTTGAAGATCTGGATCTGAGCATAGGGCACCTGTTGGCTGAAGCCGCGGATCAAAAACCGGACAGGATCGTCGAACAATGTGCCTCTGAAGTTCCCAAATCTCCCTGAAGCTACTTCTACAGTGCGCACATGTGGGTTGACCTTGCACAGCATCACATACCAAATGGTAGGTGTCATGTGTACCCATATGCTCCGCCAGGAGGTCGGTGGTGGCAAAGGAGTTTGCACAGATGATGCAAACCTGTGGGAAAGGATCCTCAGGTGTCTTTGAGGGACTCCTGGATGGATGTTCCACATGATCCTGCAAGGAGGGTGAGGGTGCCCGTTCCATGGCCAGAGGTGAATTGGAAGTCATTTCCTCATCAACTACCACATTGGCAGACCCAGGACCCTCATGCCCAAGAGGAATGCGCAGCTCAACATCGTGATCAGCAATTCCGGCTGAGTCAGCTACTTGTTTGCACTTGGAAGAGGACCCAGTGTCAGCTGACTGTGATGCAATCCTGGAGCAAATGGAGGCACCTGCACCGACCATGCACTCAGTCCGAAGGGCCATCAGCTGGAAGAGTACCTTGCAATGATGTGTATGAGCAAAGTCCACATGGCAAAAAGTACACGGTGAAAGCATAGACCCACGCCAGTGTTGGTACAATCCAGTAGCTTGTGAGGCCAAAGATGAGTGCTCCAGTGCCAAATGATGCGTCATATCCTGAAACCGCAAACACTGAGTTCCACATAGGATACAATGGCTCCGGAGGTAGTCCCCTACACAGGGATTCAGGCTGAGACCAGCAGGGTCCGTCTCAGTGATCTGCGGTAATAACGAAGAGCGTGCATTGGCCAAGGATGTTGACATCACCTGGAGAGGATCAAATTGGGAACAGGATGCGTGTTCAATGTGGGTTCGAAGTGCATTCCATGTTGGGAATGAGTGGTGACAATGCCTGCAAATGGAGGTCCCCTCTTCTGCGTCACGGACGGCAGAAAATACCTGGATTCTCTGATGTTTCATGCCATGTACACGAGCTTCATGAACAAGAAGGGCTTGAATGTTAGAGAACACTACATCACAAGTCCGGCGCGTAAAAGCCACGGGAGCCACAGGCTGATCAGGGCCTCCAGCAATGAGAAGCTCAATTTGGTCAATCATGGAGTGAGTGCCCTGAAGCTTGAGCATATGTAGTACA